GTGTTAAGGTGTGCTGTGTTGTGTTAAGGGGTGCTGTGTTGTGTTAGAGGCGCTGTGTTATGTTAAGGGGTGCTGTGTTGTGTAAGGGGCACTGTGTTGTGTTAAGGGGTGCTGTGTTGTGTTAGGAGATGCTGTGTTTTGTTAAGGGGCGCTGTGATGTAAAGGGGGGAAGTCATGTGAAGGGGAACTGAGGACACTGTGGGACTTCTTTAAAGAGGGTACTGTGATATAGAGGGGACTACAGTGTGAAAGGTACGCTAAAGATCATAATGTACTGGGGGACTGTGCTGTCTTATATCCCTAACATGTTTCGACCCTCTGTTGGAAGGAAATTTTGCTGACCGGACTTCCGTAAATTTTAATTAAAGACTCCTGCTTTAGAGGCTCCTAACACAAAAAAATAATAAATGCATATTGTTTTACCTGCAAAAAAAATGTGCATTTATTATTTTTTGTGTAAAGATGAACTTATCCTTTAATGCATAGGGTGCAGGGGTCAGGACTGTGTAACATACAGAGTGCAGGGCTCAGGAGTGCATAACGTAAAGATTACGTGGGTCAGGAGTGCATAGCATACATAACTTAGAGAGTGTAGGGTTCAGAAGTATGTAATGCACAGGTGTAGCACCCTACCAAAAGTTAGGCTAAATTTAGTTTGTTTATTTCATTGTATTCCGTGAAGAACTTATCTGTTTTTTTTTTCTGGTCAGGATTTCCCTAACGTCAGTGGTGATTGCTCCTGTCTGCTTCTGGAGGAAGCTTCCAGAATATAGAATAGGAGGGTCAACCACCAATGTATGAATATTTATCAGACCTTAGCCAATCCATGGGAAGGGGGTGCCCAGAAGGAGGCTGGAGGGGTGATAAATATTTGGGAGGCCTGCTCAAAGTGTTCTTGTCCTGGGGCTGCTGCCCCTGGGATGCAGCCTGTGTACTTAAGTTGCTTTTTGGGCATCAGCATGTGCTGGGCTAAGGGCCTGGAAAAGATATGCTAAAAGGATTTTTGCTGAAGGACATCATTTTGGTGCTAAGTCTGGAAAAGGAGATTTGTCTCCCTCTCTAAAGAATGTCGTGTGGAAATTGGGTGGTAGCAGCTGTCTTAGCACACTGTGAGTAATGCAGGCCATAGATGGGTCGAAAATCGGCCGATTTTTCGGCCGAAAATAAAATCGGCCGGCTATTTGTTCGGCCGTTTTTTCGGGATTTTGGCCGTTTTTTTTTTTTTTGGTAAAGTTGGAAAAAAATCGGCCAATCGGCCGATTTTCGCGGCATTAATGGGCTAATCGGCCGATTTTTTACCGATAAAAAATCTGCGCATGAGCAGTGACCTGCAAGAGGAAGAGACAAAAAAAAGGAGAAGAAGAGAAGAGATGAAGAAGAAGAAGAGGAAGAAGAAGAGGATGAAGAAGAAGAGGATGAGGAAGAAGAAGAAGATGAGGAAGCAGAAGAAGAGGATGAGGAAGAAGAAGAAGAAGAGGATGAGGAGGAGGATGAAGAAGAAGAAGAGAATGAAGAAGAAGAAGAGGATGAGGATGATGAAGAAGAAGAGGATGAAGAAGAAGAAGAAGAGAGGATGAGGATGAAGAAGAAGAGGATGAGGATGGGGAAGAAGAAGAAGAGGATGATGAAGAAGAAGAGGATGATGAAGAAGAAGAAGAGGATGAGGATGATGAAGAAGAAGAAGAGGATAAATAATAAAAAGAAGATGAGGATGAGGATGAAGAAGAAGAAGAAGAGGATGAGGGTGAAGAAGAAGAGGATGAGGATGAAGAAGAAGAAGAAGAAGAAGAGGATGAGAAAGAAGAAGAAGAAGAAGAAGAGGATGAGGAAGAAGAAGAAGAAGAAGAAGAAGAGGATGAGGATGAAGAAGAGGAGAAGAAGAGGATGAGGATGATGATGATGAAGAAGAAGAAGAAGATGAGGATAAGGATTAAGAAGAAGAGGATGAGGATGAAGAAGAAGAAGAAGAAGAGGATGAGGATGATGAAGAAGAAGAAGCGGAAGAGGATGAGGATGAAGAAGAAGAAGAAGAAGAAGAGGATGAGGATGAAGAAGAAGAAGAAGAAGAAGAGGATGAGGATGAAGAAGAAGAAGAAGAGGTTGAGGATGAAGAAGAAGAAGAAGAAGAAGAGGATGAGGAAGAAGAAGAAGAAGAAGAAGAAGAGGATGAGGATGAAGAAGAAGAAGAAGAAGAGGATGAGGATGATGAAGAAGAAGAGGATGAAGAAGAAGAAGAGGGATGAGGATGAAGATGAAGAAGAAGAGGATGAGGATGAAAAAGAAGAAGAAGAAGAAGAAGTAGGATGAAAATAAGAGGAATTCCAGTCCAGCAAAAAGTGTCTCTGCAGAGAGCTCCGCTATTTCTTTGACAGTTCTCTGACAGTTCCTTGACATTTACAGCGGTTGCAACATTGTATCTATTTGTTTCCGAATAAAAACATCTGTATCCTAAATGGAAACAAATAGATACAATGTTGCAACCGCTATAAATGTCAAGGAACTGTCAGAGAACTGTCAGAAATAGCAAAGCTCTCTGCAGGGACACTTTTTGCCGGCTGTAGACGGGATGAAAATCGGCCGATTTTTTTTACCATTGGTGGTAACGTCGGCCACTTGAACGACCGATTGTTCGTTTTTTTAAAAGAAAAATCGGCCGATTTTCGACCCATCTATGGCCTGCATAAGACATGATTCTGGACTCTCAAAGCTGCATGTTCTAGGGGGAATTGAGTGCTAGAGGTTACTGGATGGACTGGGTCTGCTCTTACATAGTTACATAGTTAGTCTGGCTGAAAAAAAGACAAAAATCCATCCAGTTCAACCATTAAATTAAAAAAAAAAAGGTTATAATCCTATACCCACAGTTGATGCAGAGGAAGGCAAAAAAACAGCAAAGCATGAACAAATTTGATCCTGCAGGGAAAAAAATTCCTTCGTGATCCCCCGAGAGGCAATCGGACATTCCCTGGATCAACTTTACCTATAAATGTTAGTATCCAGTTATATTCTGCATATCTAAGAAAGAATCCAGGCCTTTTTTAAAGCAATCCACTCAGCTGGCCAGAACCAACTCTTGAGGAAGTCTCTTCCACATTTTCACAGCTCTCACTGTGAAGAAACCTTTCTGTGTTTGGAGATTAAATTTCTTTTCCTCCAGATGTAAAGAGTGCCCCCTTGTCCTCTGTGATGACCTCAGGGTGAATAGCTCTACACCAAGTTCACTATATCAACATAGATTTAGAATTACTAGCCATATTTATTACCTCCAGCTAGGGCCGTTTCAAGAGGATTTTGTCCTCCTGTTGATTTCTGCTATCGTTTTGGAGTATCTTGAACCCTTAATTCCCCTCTTGTTCAAGTTTCTGTAAATAAAATCTACAATAAAACATCCCCAAGACTGAGCCTGTGTTGCCAGTGAGTTGGCACTGTGTCTATGGCAGGCAGCCCCTATACTAGCAAGGGGGATCTAGGCAAATATTTATCTGTCCTTTGAAGGGAAAACACTACACAGGCTAGTGTACATAATACAACCAAAATTACCCCCTGCTATGCCCCAAGCTCTTATCCCCCACAGTACAGATCTATCACAACAGCCTCAGTTCCCCACCCAGTACTGATTTACTCCCATAGCCCTGAAAAACTGACACACAGATCCAGATTTACTGTAAGACCAGCCATAGTTGGTTCGAATGTCAGCCGGTTCAACAGGAACTGTCCGAGATTCAAACTGTGTGCGGGCAGGCTGAATGTACCAAGTTGATCAATCAATCAACTTGGGTACAACAATTATCACTAGCGGCTGCTATAGGTTCCTAGCAATAATCACTGTCTTCTCCTGGTGGGGAAGGCTTCCCCTGCCCGCTGACCTCCCCCCGCCAGGAGAAGACAATAACTTGGCAGGAGGGATTCCCATGTTAGCACTGTTTGTGTTGATGGGGGAATCTTGCGAATTTCTTTCCTGCAACCTATAGTTGCCAAAAAGAAATTTGCGCCATCTATGGCCTGCCTAACACCCATGTGAAAGGGCCCTAACAATACCTCTTGCCTGCCTTTTTCGAGATGCCCATCTTTTTTTGAAAGAATAGATAAGGGGCCTATTTAGGAGGCCCGCAAAGTAACTGCTTCTAAATGACTGACACAGAAAGTGGTGATGATGAAGTACACTGTAATAATGTGTTAAGTGTTTTAAATATCAGTCTTCCGTATTTAATAAATCACAGTACAAACTGTCCCCCTGTACAGAGACAACGCCAAGCCCTCCAAACACTGGGAACAGCAACTTGATGCCTTCAGGGTGATCCAGTCACCTCAGGGAACCCGCAGTGCCCTTGTGAGACTTTTGCTGCTGAGTTTCTATTGCTATTTACAGGAAAGCCACACTCTCCAGCCGTGATACTTTACAAGCTTGAAGATAAACAGGAGAACGGATTGCAAAATCACAAGGCCTTCGTCACAGACCTGGCTGCTTTTAAAGCCCTCCAGCAAAAGTACAGGGTAATATACAGATTATCACTGTAATTGGAAAACTGTACACAGATATTTGCCAAGGTACACAGAGCAAAAGAGGTCACCAGACAGCCATCACTGCAACCATCATTATTTATAAGGCTAAAACTATAGCAGTTTGTACACAATAAATTCAAAATCGGCGTCCAAATAAACTGATACAAAAATCAATAACAAAAAAAATAACAAAAAAATAATTAATACCCTATATTTTCACACTTATACAGGTTCCAGAAGGCTCCGGGCCATTCACAAAGCGCAGCGCTTCTCGCGCATTCGCAGTGGGCACCCGACTGTCACAGAAGCCGCCGCGGGAAGAAGAAGGAAGGACAGCTCCGCGGAAGTGGGAGCGGGTACCTGTTGAATTCAGGTTCCCGTTCCCCCTCCCCCAAAACTCCGCAGTCTCTGGTAATCTCTTTTACTGTCTGCAGTCTCTGGTCATCTGTACTATGTCCACAGTCTCTGGTCATTCCCTGTACTGTGTCCGCAGTCTCTGGTCATTCCCTGTACTATGTCCGCAGTCTCTGGTCATTCCCTGTACTGTGTCCGCAGTCTCTGGTCATCTCCTGTACTGTGTCCGCAGTCTCTGGTCATCCCCTGTACTGTGTCCGCAGTCTCTGGTCATCCCCTGTACTGTGTCCGCAGTCTCTGGTCATCCCCTGTACTGTGTCCGCAGTCTCTGGTCATCCCCTGTACTGTGTCCGCAGTCTCTGGTCATCCCCTGTACTGTGTCCGCAGTCTCTGGTCATCCCCTGTACTGTGTCCGCAGTCTCTGGTCATCTCCTGTACTGTGTGCGCAGTCTCTGGTCATCCCCTGTACTGTGTCCGCAGTCTCTGGTCATCCCCTGTACTGTGTCCACAGTCTCTGGTCAGTCTCTGGTCATCTCCTGTACTGTGTCCGCAGTCTCTGGTCATCCCCTGTACTGTGTCCGCAGTCTCAGGTCATCCCCTGTACTGTGTCCGCAGTCTCTGGTCATCCCCTGTACTGTGTCCGCAGTCTCTGGTCATCTCCTGTACTGTGTGCGCAGTCTCTGGTCATCTCCTGTACTGTGTCCGCAGTCTCTGGTCATCCCCTGTACTGTGTCCGCAGTCTCTGGTCATCCCCTGTACTGTGTCCGCAGTCTCTGGTCATCCCCTGTACTGTGTCCGCAGTCTCTGGTCATCTCCTGTACTGTGTGCGCAGTCTCTGGTCATCCCCTGTACTGTGTCCGCAGTCTCTGGTCATCCCCTGTACTGTGTCCGCAGTCTCTGGTCATCTCCTGTACTGTGTCTGCAGTCTCTGGTCATCCCCTGTACTGTGTCCGCAGTCTCTGGTCATCCCCTGTACTGTGTCTGCAGTCTCTGGTCATCCCCTGTACTGTGTCTGCAGTCTCTGGTCATCCCCTTTACTGTGTCTGCAGTCCATTGGTTCAGAATATTTTTTTTCTTGTTTTTCACCTCTAAAACCTAGAGGCATCTTATGGTCAGGTGCGTCTTATGGAGCGAAAAATATGGTAATCAAAGGACGTTTAAGAGAATGATCCAATGAGCCAACAATCCTCCAAGATTATCCCACAAACGCTATACAAGATGCCAGGTTATCCCATAATTCCAAGCATGATGCAACACTTCCCAGGGCCATCCATAGGCAATCACTCTTCTGCTGCCATTTCCACCAATGTCTCCTCTCTAGAGAGCCAGAGAGAAGGAGAAATTATTGCTTTTACAGCCTTTATGGGTGTAAAAGCAATCAGTGTAAAAAAACAAAAAAAAATCTTCATCACCCCCCACAAGTAGTACAGTGTCACTATGGTGACACTGTACTGCTAGGGTGACAGTATGTTAAAAAAACCATAAATAATAATTAGAGATGAGCGAATCGAACATGGCGAAGTGGAATTCGTTTCGAATATTGGGAAATATTCGATTCGCGCCGAATCCGAAAATTAGCCAACTTCGGATGCACGAATCGAATTTTCCCAAAAATGGCGGCGACATGTGTGGCGACGGAGCGGGGATCTCTGGGAAGGCGCGCTGACCCATAATGCATTCATTCATGACATGTGATCGCATTAGCCAATCAGCAGCCAGCCAGCCAGCACTGTGTAATGGTGGAGCTATAAATTGCGGCCATCTTACAATTCTCTATTAGCCTCCGGTCATTCAAGAGAGACAGACCTGTCTGTATTAGGGACAGAGTTAGGGCCAGGGAGACTTTAGGGCCACAGAATCGTTACTTAGGGACACAGAATCGTTACTTAGGGACACAGAATCGTTACTCAGGGACACAGAAATGTTACTCAGGGACACAGAATTGTTACTCAGGGACAGACACAGAATTGTTACTGAGGGACACAGAATTGTTACTGAGGGACACAGAATTGTTACTGAGGGACACAGAATTGTTACTCAGGGACACAGAATTGTTACTCAGGGACAGACACAGAATTGTTACTGAGGGACACAGAATTGTTACTCAGGGACACAGAATTGTTACTCAGGGACACAGAATTGTTACTGCGGGACACAGAATCGTTACTGAGGGACACAGAATTGTTACTCAGGGACACAGAATTGTTACTCAGGGACACAGAATCGTTGAATTAAAGAGTATGTCAGACAACACGCAGAGGAGTGGCAGAGGAGGCAATGTTTCAGGAGCGAGCAGACGTGGCAGCAGAGGAAGGGGTCGAGGCAGCACTAGTCGCAGCCAGAGGCCATGTGCTCCCGGTGTCATCCAGCGGTCGTGTCTCCACCGACAACCCTGCCGTCATCGATTGGTTGGCTCGGTCGTCTTCCTCTTCCCAGGTCACCTCTGACACCTACAGCCAACGGTCGGTGGGTACGTCAGACACAACCGTTAGTTGGCATGGCCCGGGAGCAAGCCCACTGAAATCACGTGTCCTCTACCTGCCCCTGTCCTTTGGTGTTCCCTCACCAAGCGAAGTATCGCATGCTGTGGGCTCAGCCCCACTCTACAGTGAGGAAGAGCTAACAGAGGGCGGTCAGGAACGGGGGGAGACATCCGCCTCTTCAGCAGCCAGGCGAAGAAGTACTGGCGAGGAGAGTGGCTCGGTAGCCGGTCTATAGACAGGTCTGTCTCCTGACCCACACGCAGCCGAGGGGGCTAGTAGTGAGGCGGAGACCCTAATTGATGATGATGAGGCTGATCGCACTTGGCAGCCTCGTCGTCATCTGCCAGGCCCGTAATCTGCCAAGGGCCCCCGTACTGACTCCTCATGCTGCTGCCAGGCCCGTAATCTGCCATGGGCCCCCGTACCGCCTCCTCATGCTGCTGCCAGGTCCAGAGTGTGTCATGGGTCCCTGTACGGCCTCCCATTGCTGCTGTCTCCATCGCCACACTCTGCCATGTGCCACTTTCAGGTCTCCTCACACTGCTGGTGGGTTCCATTTTGTCATAGGGTGCTGGCAGATTACGGGCCTCCCATTGCTGCTGCCAGGCCCGTAATCTGCCATGGGCCCCCGTACCGCCTCCTCATGCTGCTGCCAGGTCCAGAGTGTCTCATGGGTCCCTGTACGGCCCTCTCCCATTGCTGCTGTCTCCATCGCCACACTCTGCCATGTGCCACTTTCAGGTCTCCTCACACTGCTGGTGGGTTCCATTTTGTCATAGGGTGCTGGCAGATTACGGGCCTCCCATTGCTGCTGCCAGGCCCGTAATCTGCCATGGGCCCCCGTACCGCCTCCTCATGCTGCTGCCAGGTCCAGAGTGTGTCATGGGTCCCTGTACGGCCTCCCATTGCTGCTGCCAGGTCCAGAGTGTGTCATGGGTCCCTGTACGGCCTCCCATTGCTGCTGTCTCCATCGCCACACTCTGCCATGTGCCACTTTCAGGTCTCCTCACACTGCTGGTGGGTTCCATTTTGTCATAGGGTGCTGGCAGATTACGGGCCTCCCATTGCTGCTGCCAGGCCCGTAATCTGCCATGGGCCCCCGTACCGCCTCCTCATGCTGCTGCCAGGTCCAGAGTGTGTCATGGGTCCCTGTACGGCCTCCCATTGCTGCTGTCTCCATCGCCACACTCTGCCATGTGCCACTTTCAGGTCTCCTCACACTGCTGGTGGGTTCCATTTTGTCATAGGGTGCTGGCAGATTACGGCCTCCAATTGCTGCTGCCAGGCCCGTAATCTGTCATGGGCCCCTGTACCGCCTCCTCATGCTGCTGCCAGGTCCAGAGTGTGTCATGGGTCCCTGTACCGCCTCCTCATGCTGCTGCCAGGTCCAGAGTGTCTCATGGGTCCCTGTACGGCCTCCCATTGCTGCTGTCTCCATCGCCACACTCTGCCATGTGCCACTTTCAGGTCTCCTCACACTGCTGGTGGGTTCCATTTTGTCATAGGGTGCTGGCAGATTACGGGCCTCCCATTGCTGCTGCCAGGCCCGTAATCTGTCATGGGCCCCTGTACCGCCTCCTCATGCTGCTGCCAGGTCCAGAGTGTGTCATGGGTCCCTGTACGGCCTCCCATTGCTGCTGTCTCCATCGCCACACTCTGCCATGTGCCACTTTCAGGTCTCCTCACACTGCTGGTGGGTTCCATTTTGTCATACGGTGCTGGCAGATTACGGGCCTCCCATTGCTGCTGCCAGGCACGTAATCTGCCATGGGCCCCCGTACCGACTCCTCATGTTGTGACGTTGCAACAAGGTGGAATTCAACCCTACATATGTTAGACCGCCTTTACGAACAGCGAAAGGCCATCACCGATTTCTTGATGTTACAAGCGGATAAAGGTACTCCCCTGTGTAACTTAGATGTCAGCCATTGGCAACTCATGCGTGACACCTGCCGCTTGCTCAGGCCCTTTGAGGAGGCCACGCTATTCGTGAGTCGGCAGGACTATGGGATGAACGACGTCATTCCTCTGTTGCACGTCCTGGAACAAATGCTGTTAACAATGGCTGGTCAGGGTGCGGTAGACGTGGCGCACAGATCTCAACGCCACATGACCCCTGTGGGGGCAGTACAGGAAGAAGAGGAGGAGGTAGAGGAGGACATTGGTGCTCAGGAATTATTGAGTGAAATGGGTGGTTTTTCCACTCAGCGGACAGGAGTGGAGGAGCAGGAGCATCTGGTAGAGGAGGAGGAGGAGACAGAGGACCCAGACGCACCGTGGCAGTATGCTGTGGAGATGGAGGCAGGGAGTCCTTCGCATTCCTTGGCACAAATGGCCCATAGCATGCTCGGTTGCTTGCGTAGCGACAGCCGAATAATAACCATCAGACAGAGGGATGACTTTTGGCTGTCCACCTTGTTGGACCCTCGCTACCGTTCAAAAATGGTGGCCTTTTTCACACCTGCTGAGAGGGAGGCCAAAATAACGTACTATAAAAACCACCTATGTAGTCAGTTGGTCTCTGCCTTTCTGCGCCAACGTCCATCCTCAGACACTGTGGGCCCTGTGCGCTCGCGTTCCGCTGCCATGGCAGCAGGGGAGGGGTGGGGTGGTAGGAGCAGTGGCAGCTCCACCAGCAGCGGCTGCCTCAGTCTGCAGTCGATGATGAGTAGCTTTCTTCACCAGCGCAGTGAGGAAACTAATAACCAGCCGCAGCAGCAGCAGCATCAGGTGGACCTGGAGCAGGACCTCAAACAACAGGCTTGGGCCTACTTGGACAGCACCCTGCCAACCGAGGTAGACAATCCCCTTGACTACTGGGCAACGAAACTTGACCTTTGGCCCCAACTAGCTGAATTTGCCCTTGAAAGGCTGTCATGCCCGGCCAGTAGTGTGGCATCGGAGCGCGTGTTTAGTGCAGCAGGAGGTATTGTAACTCCGCGGAGGACACGACTGTCCACCCAAAGTGTGGAGAGACTCACGTTTGTGAAAATGAATCAGGCGTGGATTAGTCTGGATTTCAAACCACCAGTTCCTGACACAACTGACTAAATCCGCCATGAATCATGCCCCAAACATGTTATTATTTTTAACATAGGCCTCTGTATGGCCTTCAATTTAAGCTGCTTACGCTTCGCCACTCTGCCATGGGCCCCTGTACTGCCTCCTCTTGCTGCTGCCAGGTCCAGAGTGTCTCATGGGTCCCTGTACGGCCTCCCATTGCTGCTGTCTCCATCGCCACACTCTGCCATGTGCCACTTTCAGGTCTCCTCACACTGCTGGTGGGTTCCATTTTGTCATAGGGTGCTGGCAGATTACGGGCCTCCCATTGCTGCTGCCAGGCCCGTAATCTGCCATGGGCCCCCGTACCGCCTCCTCATGCTGCTGCCAGGTCCAGAGTGTCTCATGGGTCCCTGTACGGCCTCCCATTGCTGCTGTCTCCATCGCCACACTCTGCCATGTGCCACTTTCAGGTCTCCTCACACTGCTGGTGGGTTCCATTTTGTCATAGGGTGCTGTATGGCCTCCCATTGCTGCTGCCTCCACCGCCACACTGTGGCTCCACACTCTGGTTTTGGCCCCGTGACTGCCCAAATGAGTGAAGTGTGCGGTGATTCTAAGATCGACGGCACTCATCTGCATGTCATACTGACTGACAGTATTATTTCTCTTCCCCAGCAGACTCCAAGGGCATTTAAATTAAAGGTACAGTGTTCTGCACTAATATAAAGGCTCTCTGAAGCCTAGAAACACCCTTTTTATAAGTTAAATTCGCAGCGAATATATTCGACTCAAATCGAATTTATTCTGCGAATTCGCCGAATCAGCCGAATCGAATTTTTGAATACTTCGCTCATCTCTAATAATAATATAAAAAAATAAAATAAAAATATAAAACTTTTTTTGAAAAATTATAATTTTTGGTTATAAACTAATTTGGGTTATTTTTTCTTTTACTAAAAAGATAGCTGAATACAAGAAGATTTATGAAGAAAGATTATTTGCAAAATTTTATAAGAAAAAACGCTTTTTTTTCAAAATTGTTGGACTTTTTCATTTATATAGCAAAAAAATTTAAATCCCAGCGGTGAATAAATACCACCAAAATAAAGTTTTATCTGTCTCAAAAAATGCTAAAAAATTCATATGGGTACAGTGTTGCATGACCGTGCAATTGTCATTCACAGTGTGTTAGCACTGCAAGCTGAAAAGTGGCCTGGACTGGAAGGGGGTGAAAGTGGCCTGGACTGGAAGGGGGTGAAAGTGTCCGGACTTTAAGTGGTTAAGCACCCTAAAAAATAATCTATTGTTGGTTGCTGAATGGTGTAGATAACAGCGTATTGAAAACGCTTACTGCTAATTGCAGATATATTCTCAGTTCTAATCAGGACTTGAAGAAATACAAACATAATCAAAACATTATTGGTGCCGTGTGTGTCAGGGATCGCGGCTCCGGACTCCTGTGTCACGACGCCGTCCCCCGCGCATGCGCACTGGCGGCGGATCGCGCCGGGACACGGGCACTAGGTCCCGGCGAGCCGCGGCTGACAGGGAGCCGCGCATGCGCAGTAGAGAGCCGCGGGCGCGCCTCAGGCGTCCAATGACAGCCGGGGGCGCGTCCTAGCCAGCCAATGACAGTGCAGGGCGCACTATTTAAAGATGCCCTGCACTGTCACCAATTGCCGCAAGGTCTTCCTGTGATCCTGAATTCCTGCACCCGTTTTGTGACCCTGTTTTTGACCCTGACTACGCTGCCTGCCCCTGTGATTGACCCGGCTTGCCCTGACTATTCTACCCGCTCCTGTGATTGACCTGGCTTGTCCTGACTATTCTGCCCGCTCCTGTGTTTTGACTCGGTTTATCCTGACTATTCTACGGACTGATTTACCTGGCTGACCCTGCATGTGACCCGACTACTTCTTGCCCGCCGATTCGGTACCCCGCTTACCCCCACGGGACCACTCTCCGTACCACCCTGCTGGGGCCGCCATCCTCTTCATATCTGGCTCTCCCGGTACCTACACACATCCCCGGAGGCCTCCTCAGCCGCTGGTGGGCCCTGCTCAGAGGTCGTGACCTGGCCCGGGACTGTTTCAAGTCCATCCCCACCATCAGGGGCCCTGGTGAAGGCACAGCCCGGGCTTAGACCCCACGCTCTGGGTTGGTCTGTCAGTTGGCAGCTGGAGGGCTCCGCCTGGCGGATCATAACAAATACATAGGCAAAGCATACAAAATAGAATACAAATTTATAAATTTCCTTTACAGGGAGCTGCCATTGGTCCCGCAGTGGTTCCGCTGTCAAATCTATAAAATACAGCTATGTGCTTTACAAATGTACTTAGTTTATAGTTGCCTTCCATCCATGTTTTGAGGGGTCTGTCCCTGGCAAACAAACATCCCCAATGATGTCCCTGGAGCACCTGTTCTGCAGGATCTGTGTCATGTCACATTGAAGGACAGCAGTGCTGTGCAGCAGTGCTCCCCTCCCCTCTCCTTCAAGCTCTATTTTTCCTGCTTTTCCTGGAAGTTTGCAAGCACTTTGGAGCATCCCTGTTGCCTACTGAGCATCTTCTCATGGCGGAGAATGAGCTGACCCAGAAGCTCCAGCCAAACTTGGTGCTGGAAGATCCCAAGCCAGTGGTGGACAATAGAGGACCAGCCTCCATGGACAATAGGGAAGGAAAGCCTGCCACAACTTACTCCAACTGAGTACCAAGCTGAACTGTAGAACTTACAATAATGCTGGCAGCGGTCCAAGCCAACCAGAACCACATCTTCAACCCCTACACTGGGTTCAAGGAGTTCCCCTGAAACCAGATCAAGAATAAGGCTATGTTCAAGCAGTAAGTGGTACACTGGCAGAAGGGCATCTGCGCCACCTAGGTTGCCGAAGAGTACAAGATACATTCCTGGTTACTATCCCCAGCACTTACGGTACATGGAACAAAAATGTCAGTTGTCTCTAGAAATGATTGGGGGCCCTGACAACAGGGCATGACCCATAAGGTGCAACTAGACTTTCTGGGTGTACAAGGTACATGCCTGGTCACTGTCCTTAGCATTTACCTAGTGTACAGATAGCAATTGGTTCTAGAATGAACTGAGGACC